AGCTATGGATTGAATTCCTCTAATTCCACCAGGGTCATTCATTACAATAGATTAATAAATATTATCATATTTTCATCAACTTTTTTGGTGAGCAAATAGAAACCAGTATTATAGTTTAAATATTGGGCTGTTGAAAAAGTCATGACGTATTTTTTCTCTGTTTTTCGTTGCAAAAATGCGTCATGACTTTTCCAACAACCCAATATTACATTTAATTACAAATCTACATAGAGATAAAGCTCAATTATATCAATGCTGTAAAAGTGACACTAACTAAAGAAGCTGTGGTTTGGGGCACTTAGAATTTCTGAATTATTAGCCTTTTTTTTTTTTTTTACCAATAACAGTTAATGGGAACATAAGGGGGGGGTGAATTATGTTTTAATGCTTTAGTTTCTCCATCAATAAATGCTCATTTCTATTGTCTTGGAGAGCAACTGTAATTAATATTAAATGGAATTTCTATTTTCTACTGGATTTATAATTTTAATACATATTTTAGTAATAATCACATCACATATATATCCAAATGGCCCAGTCATCTACATACACTTTGGTAACTATTACAAAATTAAATTTATCCATAATAAAATTTATTTGGACTTTAATAAGTATTGCCTGTCGAACCACTAGACCATTTAGAAGACGCTAATAAACATATAATATGCTCATGTATACAGTTTGATCATTTATTTGCAATAATATATGCAGAATATCACGTGTGTTGGAATATTGTTGACAGTACTCAGTCCTAGAAGTAGGTAGTATGGATAAGCCAAAGAATTTTTCCTATGATAGCATATATCAAGATTTACTCTTAACTCTGGGGCAGATCTGGAGGCTTTTTAAGGTCCTGTTCCTACCCTAGTAAACATATATGAAGAAAGGAGTAATTTCTTGCCCCTATAATAAAAATGGCCTTGCTACATCAGGCAAAATAATTGTCACAGATGTATTCTCTTCTTTGCCATCATCTTTATCACCTTTCCCACCATCTCTAGGAGTTTCAAATGTCCCAATCAAATAGAATAATTAAATGCAAACTCTACATCTTAAATTATATTTCTAATCACAACAATATCAATGTTGTTTCATGTTCCTTAGTGATTTTCTAGTTATTTTATTGCAATAAAACCCACTTCATTATGCTTTCATAGCATCCTATAAAAGAGAGGTTAGGATAGCACTTCTTAAATACCGATTAATACAATTTGGTGGGACATTTACCAAACGTAGACATTTGGATTGCTAAACAAACAAACAAACAAAAAACCCAAGAATGTTTTAATACTGCAACTATCTACCCCTTTATCACATGAAATATTTAGTGAGATATTTGTAAGGAACTTTGAGAAATACAAACAAAAGGCAGTCAGTAAATTTAAAGTAATATTACCAATATTCGAAACCAGGATGTGGTTCTTTGAAATGTAGTTTTCTAGATATGTTGTTTGCTATAAACCCCTATTCTTAAATGTTGCAGCAGCCTCCATGACTCTACTGACTGTGCGGTGTCTTCTCAATACCCAGCTAACACCACCACAACACAAAACTGGCAGGGACCTAACTGCCATTCCTCCGCCTTGTGTTTTCTCATTACACGTTTTGGTAACAGGGAAGAACCTTTCCCTGTTCTTCACGCCACTCTTTTACATTTTGGAATTGTTGTCCTAGACTCCAGCTTTTTCGATTCACCTTGGCTGAACCTTTAGATCAAGGGATTCCTATGATAGCAGCAATAAAAGTAGGCAGATTAAGAGAGAGAGAAAAAATCCTATTGTAAAATGACTGCCTTCAAAACCAGTTTTGCATTGGCTTTAAAAGAATAAAATATATTTTCTTGAGACAGAGCTGGGGAGCTCTGTCTTGGAGGTTGCCATATCAGCATCAAATAGTCTGGCTGTTTTCAAGATACCGAAGGCAACGTGGGTATTTGGGGGAACCTCTCTGGCTGCCCATGGCAGATTTTTAAAGAATTGTTACTTGGAGAATGGAAAAATGATTATGATTAAAGTGCTTAAATGAGAAGAAGGGAAGGTATGGACAAATAATTTGGAGGTGATTAGGGGGCATGAGGGTTTGATCTAGGATCAATATGGTTTCCACCTTTTAATTAAGATTCAAGAAAGAAACAATTTGAGTTTCTCTTTCTTTTCCAAAGCACTGTACTCTTATTTCTCCTTGTAGTTAAGTAGCCTGAATGACGAATGTATGATGTCAGCAGAATTTTCTTGAACTGCTGGGCACAATATAATATTATTATTTCGAATTCAGGTAATTTTACTATATACCAGGATTATTCTTTTGAGCCCTGTTTTATATTCATTTGAAGAATACCTGAACATAGAACTCCATGTAAAAACACTTGTGTGTGTTTACAGTTTTTGTGAGTTTAGCATCAGTGGAAATAAAAGATTGACATTGCTTTTCATTCAAGCGGGCACTCACTCTCAGACCACAAATCTTGCTATCCCAATGAGCACGGATTGCAAAATGCAAAGGATGCAGAAATAAAAACTACCCAGAGGTGGCGCTGTGGTTAAAGTACACCTGAATTTTGATTATAGTCAATGTATTTACTCCCCACTTCTCAGAAGAGAGACTGTTTGCCATTATCTCTTTTGTATTTCTCTAACCACAACATCAGCAAATAAAGCTCTCTGGTAATATACCCCCACCCACTCTAATCTACCGGGACATGTGTAAAGACCTCACTCCACACAGATTAACACTAAAACCACCTCCTAGGCCGGTTCCAGCCTGGGGATCTATATTCAAAGTTTTATCCATCATTCTCTCATTTCCTTCCACAATAACTATATGTATCTTCTGGGGAATCACTCAGTGATATCTGCACATGTGGTTGGTTAAATTTCTAACATTTCCTTTTAAAATAAAGATTTCATTTTAGCATACATATTCAGGAAATACCTAAAGTACTTTTCATTATAGAGCTATGTATTATGTATTGTACTTAAGAAAATCCTTTAAAAAAAGGAAAAACTAAGACCACTTGGTTTAATTCCCTCATTTGTCAATGAGAAAATTAAGGCCCAGAGAAGGAAATTTACCTGTACATGACAAATCATAACTTCGTTGCAGCCCACTAAGAGCTTGTGTCATCTCTTTTTGATTATTATAAATTATCAACAAATTGAAACTGAACCAGGGAATTAAAATGTGTGCATTATTTGTTTATGGGGTTCTTTTCCTCATTTAGTTTAATTGAGTTTTCTTTACTAACCTTCAAGGAATATTATATCTTTTTAAGTTGGCCTTCTTTAATCACACCCATCTGCAGCTGTTTTCTGTACAGGACATTTTAATTACTATTATATAATAGTTTTAATGATTCTTTAAAACATGTTTTTCATACGTGCACAAAGTGACTTGATTATAAAAATGAAGTTTTAAATACCTATCAATAAAATTAAGTCATTTAATTCTGAGGTGCTAGAAATATAAAGACATGAGTATTCAATTTGGTATTTAAAATGTCCTCTGCTCGGTGTTATAGGCAGTGATTATTGTTTCTTTTGCAGCTTTAATTTTGATGGTTTGAAAGATAGAAATCCCCACACAGGCGCTAACACCATAGATGTTTAACATCTGCATTGTCTAGCCAGATACTCCTGCAGGTTCCTTCCCTCAATCCAGCAGTGCTGAGTGTAATACAATATGAAAACTTGTCCCACAAGGCTGGTTTTACTTAATGATACTTAGCAGAAGGGCTTTGCACTTTCATGATAATTTCCACCAGAAAAATCTCTCTGGAACTTAGTAATAATAATCAGACCTAATATTAGCCTCAGATCAGAGATTTATTAAACCTATTTGGCAGAGAAGATCAAGTTGAATGACTAGATATTCAAGCATCTACGCTGAACTTTGGCCCTGGAAAGAGACTCTCAAACTAGCACCCTAAAAGCATTCCTCAAAACTTGATTTATACTAGAAGTGACCTTTCTTACTCTCCCGAGGCTGAGATTGCGAATTTTGGCAATTACTTACATTGCTTTTGGGGGCTATGAGAAATTCGGCCTCTCATCCTCCACAGCCGGGTGGATAGAGGACCAAAGGCTTTCTCCCAGAAGTTTGCCTCAACTTCGAAAATCAGGATTGTGATCTTTTTATCACCAACAATTGACAAACATCTATGAAGTGCCTACTGGGCATTTGGTTTAGGCTCCGGTTAATGAGATGGCGGTAAGTAAGCAGTCTTTAGGATCTATTGATTCCCTTACTGGTTTTACTTTGTTAACTAAACTTCCACTAAGGTTCATAAATCTCCAACACCGTGAATTTTTTTTTTTAAGTCACCTCTTCTGCGGGTGTGTGTGAAGTCCACCGCCCTAAGATTTCGGGAAGACATTTCTTCCCAAAAAGAAGAGACCCATTTCTGAGAAAGATGTGAAGTTAAGTTTTCTATGGCTCTCGCCTCCGCGCGAGGGGAGGGCAATCCCCAAGGGGCGCACGGGTGCGGGTCCCGAGGGTCCCCGGTGCACGGAGAGGGCAGGTGAGATCCCCCCTCGCCTCTGCCTGCGATCTCGGGCCGCGCAGGGCAGCCCCGGCGAGGATCCGCGGCGCCGGGGTCACCAGCCCACACCTGATTCGGGCCCTTCCCTTCTCCTTCCTCGGCCCGCGCCGCCGCCTGGCCCTCTCCCCCGCCCCCAGAGTCTCGTTTCAGGCATCCCTTTGTCCTTCCCCGGATTGGCAGGTTTTATTATTCCGCCTGAACAATCCGGCCGCCCAGTGGCTGAGGGTCGCTGACGTCGGCGGCAGAGCCGGGGAGTAGTTGGGATTCTGCTCTGTCAGTAACACATGTGTAAGAGCCGCGGAGGGAGCGAGCGAGCCGGCTAGAGGCCAGCGCCGCCGCCGCCGCCGCCGCCTCGGAGCCGGGCAGCAGCAGCCCCGGCAGCGGCGCAGGCTCCCCGCGCGCCGGCCCGGCCGGCCGCAGTCCCCCGCCTCCCCCGCGCGCCCGCCTCCGGGCCTCNCGGCCCGGCCGGCCGCAGTCCCCCGCCTCCCCCGCGCGCCCGCCTCCGGGCCTCCGCACCCGCCGCCACCGCTCTAGGGGCTGTTTCCCGGCCGGAGGTGCAGGAAGCTCGGCCGTGTGGCCGCCGCAGCCGCCAGCCGGAGCGAGCGAGCGCGCGGGAGGGAGGAAGGCGGTGGAGGAGGAGGAGGAGGAGCGGGAGGAGCGCGGGCGGGGGCGGGGGCCGACGGGCGGGGGAATCTACAAAGTGAAGCCACATTGCCAAACTTGCAGCAGCGATTGCAGCAGTTGCTGCCGCTGCGCCGCGCCTGAAGCTGCGCCGCGCGGGCCGAGGGCTCCTGCCGCTGCTCGCGCGGAGCCGGAGGCGGAGGACGAGGACGAGGACCGAGACTGACACTTCTGCTCCTGGCCGCCAGCCACTTACGCGGGGCCCCCCAACCCAGCCTCAGCAACGCGTTAAAAAAAAAAGAGAAAGAAAAAAGAAAAAAAAGCCCGTAGCCCCCTCCTCCCCTTTCCTGCTTCTGCGAGAACTCCCCCTTCCTCCAGCCAAGGCGCCCCTTCCTTGGAAGCCGAGAGGCTTCACTCGCTTTTCGCCGCAGCCGCCTCTCGCAATATTGCAATATAGGGGAAAAGCAGGTAAGGGGACGGCCGGGGAACCGCGGGCAGGGAGGGGGCAGGGAAGAGGGGGTCTGTGGGGGCCCGGGCTGTTTTCTTTGGCTTCCTTCCCTTGACCGTCCCAAATTGCAAGTAAACAATACGTTGGCTTGGATAATGCGCGAGTCTCAAACTACCGAGGCCGGCCTGCGAGCTAGCACGGAGCGGCAGCCCCGGGCCGCCAGCTTTGTAGCGGTTCCAGCTTACAAAAGGGTTCTCGGAGACCGGGCTGGTGAGGACCTAGGAGCGGGGGGTGGGGAGATTTTCAGTTACTGAGGGAAAGGCAGGGGGTGCTGAAAGGAGGGTTTAAGTATGAGAAGTAGCGTGGGGGAAATAGTCACGGACCCCCTCCCCCCCCTTTCTAGTAAACAGTGTTTTTGAAACAGTGGCAGAAATGATCTAAGTGAGCAGGATTCGGTATTGCTGGGTCTTTTTAAAAAATTCCTCTTGGCTTATAAGTCTTTTGTTCCAATCCAGGAGAAGTCCGGTGAATCACCTAATTAAAATCAAGACATGAATTAAGCATCCATTTTTGTACTACAAATTGCCAGCGCTACGTTTGTCCCTCCCTTGGTCTCCATTAAAAAACACCAGAGACGTTGTTAAAGGGGGGCAGATTTTGCCTCTAGCTGCCAGTTCTGCTTTCTATTTCACTGACTATCCCAGGACCTAAATTGCTTGGCTATGTAATTACTAGAGTATAAGCCTATTTAACTTAAAAGCTTTCTTTTTTTTTTTTTTTTCCAACTCTAAATGAAACTTGATGAGGGCCGGTCCTTAGTTATCAGGGGAGTCAGTTTCTGGTCAGTCCTCTTGATTCATCTCTTTTAGATTTAATCAGCATTAAGGTATTGCTTGTCCTTAAGAGCTTTAGCTAATGGGGTTACTGGATGCTTTTCTCAGTGTAATGTTTCCTTTTCAAAAAAATATACATATATATTTACCTCTCACCAAAGATGGGGGCGGGGAAGAGCTTGGAATCTCCTCCCTCCCTCTCCCCTTTTAAAAAGGAATTCGGAGCGATTAAAACGTTGGGGGAAACAGTTTAAAGACCTAGGGCAGGAAATGCAGATTCATTTGGGTTAGGGCTGAAATTGTAACAAAAAGCAATTCCTCGAGTAAATGCATCAGATAAATCAATTTACATAAAGGTATGATGCATTCGGATAAATGCAATGCTAATGGGTTTTAGAGTGGTCTTGTTTCCAAAGTCTCAGGGTTTTGTTACAGCTTAATTGGTGCAGTTCTTATTCTGGTTTATTGTGCGGTCTCTGGACACACGTTCCGGGACTCTTTCGGAGGAAATGTGTTTAAAATCGGCCTATTTAAGGAACCCGAGTGCTTGTTTCGTTCCCTTCCCCTCGTTGTTTTTTTTTTTTTTTGCAGCCAAGTTGGGCCGGGGACAGGCGAAGTTCGCCCTTTCCCTTCTGAGGTATCAGCTGAATGTCTTGAGCAGATACCGGGAGCCTGGGGGGAGCCCACACTCTCGGCTTACAGAGGACAAAGACAAAACAGGCTGCTTAATTGGCAGTAAATAACTTGATCTTTTTATAGAATAAGTGACTGGAGGAACACTAGGACTTTATTGGACTGAGGATTGGAGGCAACAAATTAATCGGTTTAGGCTAAGCTTTATAAATTGATTCCTATATTATACCCCAGTTGCTTCTCTCATGACATTCATTAGAAAGAGTGGGGAATTTTTAAAAGCAGTTTTGGTGACAGCAGGACTGGCTCGAATTTAACTTGTGCATCCTTTAATAGTGCCTTCTCGCACATTATCTGTACTCCCCACCCCTTTCGGAGGAACAAAGCTTTAGCATTTAAATTGCTGATCAAGGGCAGATTAGTGAGACCAAAGTGGAGAGTGTTTGTATAGGAAGTTAACAGGCATCCTAAAGTTCAATGATCTATTATTCTTGCCTGTGTCCTGAGAACCCAGAGAAAACACTCATTGATCTTCAAAACGAAATGAGATTTGGAACAATAATGGGAGATGGCGGTCACCACAAAGGCATGTGAAAGGTGCTGTTTAAAATACGAAAAACCAGTTTCGCAACTTTACACACCGCACCCCCTCCTCGGGTCCCCGCGCCTCTCCTCCCACCACCACGTTCTCCATCTCCCCTTTGCCGGTTCCTCCCTCTTTCCCTTTCAGAAAACCGAACTATTTCCAATTTGTGAACTGCAGCTTCACTTCCCAGGGCAGAGCTCGGGAGGGAACGTGGCTCCGGCAGGGGCCGCCTCCCCGCTCCCCTCAGCTCGCTCTCGGGGCTCGGCCGGGGTGGGGAGGGGCCGGGCGCGGCGGTGGGTGGGTTTGACCCTCATTTGCTGGAGGCGGGCGGCGAAGGAGGGGAAGAGGGGGTGCCGGGAGGAGGTGCCGCGAGGGGTGGAGCGCGCCGCCGAGCCTTGCTCTCGGAGTTTTGACAGTACCCAAGCTGAAATTGTCAGCAGCGGCGAGCGCTGGAAAGTTGAGAGGAGCTCGTGGCCCCAGAACAAAGCTTGAGAAAAGTAAACAGGCGGCTGCTGCCGGCGAGCCTCCCTCCTTCTCGCTCACCCTCCTTCCTGCCCTTGCCCTGCCGTTTCCTTCCAACAGCTTGGGGGGGGGGCGTTTTGGGGGAACGGGTACGCTCGCTCACTCACGCTGCGCTTACTAACTTTTTGCATCGCCTCTGTTTTGTTTTTCTTTCCCTTTCCCCTTCCCGCCGTCTGCAGACCATGGTGAATCCGGGCAGTAGCTCACAGCCGCCCCCGGTGACTGCCGGCTCCCTCTCCTGGAAGCGGTGCGCAGGCTGCGGGGGCAAGATTGCGGACCGCTTTCTGCTCTATGCCATGGACAGCTACTGGCACAGCCGGTGCCTTAAGTGCTCCTGCTGCCAGGCACAGCTGGGCGACATCGGCACGTCATGTTACACCAAGAGCGGCATGATCCTTTGCAGAAATGACTACATTAGGTAAGACTTGGCTGCCCTTCCCTGAGATGGGGGAGCAGAGTCATGGCAAGACCAGAGGTTACCAAGGGTTTTAAGGAAAGAAGTAGGGCTCTTATGAGAATACATTGTAGTCTTCACCTCAAAAACCTGGTTGGCCCAGTTTAAGGGGTTCAGGAAGCATGTGTCAATCTTCCAGTTTTTATAACAAATTAATGGCGAATGCCACATGCTAAGTAAAAACTGCCCATCTGGTGGAACTGGACCCCAGTAGGTGTGCAAAGGTTGGGCACTCTGGCGACCAAAATTTTAAGTGGTCAGCCCCAACTGGACCCTCTGCTAAAAATAAACATTTCAAGTGGGAGTTAAGCTGCTTTCTTAAAGCAAGGTAGGGACCTACATTAGAAACTGGAGACAAAAGATTGACTTAAAAGGGTAGTTAGTAAGAAATGATTTGCCTATGGTGATGGCTAATTACTTTAAAACTTTTCTGAGTGGAAAACTGACTCCTTTGTGCTCCTTGTGAAAAATGCCGATTACCCATCAGTTTAAAGACCTGTAATTCTTATAGCAAAAAATGGTAATATTTCTCTTTACATACGGTTATTTGGAGGCTTGTAAGGCTTAATGTTAGTGTGGTTTGTGATGTAGAATTTTGTAGTTTTTTCAACTGAGGAATGTTCAGATTTTGGGTTTTTTGTTGTTCGTATCACTACCCTGGGTCCCCAAAAGAGATTTAGGAAAAGAGACTATAGAATTAATACTAATCTTGCATTTGAAAGCGATGTATAGGAACATTCATATGCCCCTGTAAGCAGTCTTTTCCAACAAGTTTCAGTGCAATTAATGGAAAGAATTCAGGAGGTCAGGTGCCTATAGGATCTTTTCAGGTGAACTCAAGCTACTTAAACTCATTAATTTGAAAGGAGGCATTTGAAGGATTACACATTTAATTTGAGTAAATGGTTTGATAGACTGATGCACATGAATGCTTCTAGGAGGTGTTCTGTTTCAACATCCAGTAATTAAAAAAAAAAAAAAAACAACCCACACGCACACCGTTGATCATAGAGAAGCCAACGAGAAGCGTTCAAGAACCACTCACTTTTAAAAAGAATTTCATTCTATTTAAAGTCCTAAACAATTTATAGTGATTAGTAGAAATTTTTATTCTCTTTTCAATGGCAGTGAATCAATGGATGAGATACTTGTTCAAAGTTTAAGCTCTATTGTGATTCCCTCACTGCATCTAAAACTGCAAAGGATCCCAATGAAGTTCAGAGCTGAGTGTGTGTATGCTTACCCCAGTGATGTATCAGTGTAAAATGATGGAATAAAATAACATTTGGTTATTCCAATAATGCAACTTACGTCCATGCTGCTGGCATCCTCAATCAGCCAAGTAAAAGAAATATAGGAAGAGAGAGGGCTTTTATTTTTAAATTAAGGTGGCAGTATTAATTTCACTAAGTGTTCTTTTAGAAGTAAATGTTGGAAAATGAGCAGGAGCATGAGTGTAATGCTTTCTGGTTCTCCTTCCAAGCAGTGCCATAAGCTTTGACAGTCTTGTAATTAAATAGAGAGCAAAACTGGGGTAAGAAAGGAGGGTGGTTTGAAGTGGAAAAACTGACAGTGCTGTTCAGACCGGGTGAATGGTACAGATTCATCGCTTCTCCAAATGCCTTCAAAAAAACCTTTGCTTCTGATTACCACTAATTAAAAAGAAGATGGGTCCACTTGCATTCCCTCAGGACAAGTTAGGCAAGTGGCTTCCTGGGAATCGCCTCCTTTCCTTTACCCATTCTTGAGGCCAAATATAAATGCCCATTTGGTGCTTTCTCGTGGCATAATGGAGCAGTGGAGGATGTGTGCCCCGCCAGAGCCTTAATTAATTGGGTCCATATTCTCACTTCCTTTCTTTTTCTCTGAATTTGAAAACCAGCGAGGCTTGCTCTTGAACTAGATGCTATCCTGAGAACCTTAGATCTGTCCCAGAGGGATGAGTTCCAGCTCAGTACAAAATTGCTCTCACACTGCTCAGGGCTCATCAGCAGCTGGTCACCCCTCCCATCCCCCCCCACACACCCACATCTGTCTCCCCAGTTTAAGAGATCTCTGAAGTCTTACTTCATTGTTCTTTCTGCCCATCAAGATGCCAAAAGGGTGGAAAGGTGGGGAAGCATGCCCGTCCTTTTCCTCTCAGCCACCCCCCCTCCCCAATCTCCCTCCAGGACACTTGTTGGAGGAGCTTTCAATTCTGCAAGGAGACCACGGAAGAATGGAGTAATCCGCTCCCCGGCCTCCAGGTGAAGGGGACGGACCCTTCTGCTCTAAGGCCTGGCTGGTACCACAGAGCGATTTATTAAGGGCTTTTAAACTGTCTCACTTTGAGGTTGTGGTTTTTTGAAAACAACCAAGATCTGGCTAAAACGCTGGGAGAGGCGGGGGTGGGGGGACATAGTGGGTGTGCTGCTTTTCCCCAGTCCCCTCCCCCTTGGGCGACCAAGTGTGGATTGGGTTGAGCTGGGCTTCTGCCTCCTTCTCCCTCCAAGATTTCAGATAAAGCGGCAGCCTTGCTGCAGCGAATCCGCACAATTAAAAGCTTTAATTAGTGGCTCCTCCATTTTCTTAGTTCTGATGGGCTTTATCTAATGAGATCTGGTCTCTGGCTTAGATCTGCTCCGAATGACGTGTCCGCAATGAATGAGAGCTGCGTCGCAAACAAAACATTTAATTAACAAAATTGGCCTCTAAGAGAGAGGGAAAAGCGGGGGGCGGGGGGAGGGTGGATCTTAAAGGGGCCAACGCCTGCCTGCCCCCATCCAGAAGTCCGCAAACCTGGGTGCTGTCCCCTTACTCCCCAGCTTCTCGCCCCCCCCCCCCCGTTCCCCCAGCTCAATCCAAGCGCCACCAGATAGCTTCAGAAACTGTTTCTCTTTCCTCGAACCCTTCTTTCTCTACCCCCACCCCGGGCCCCGAAGACTGGCGCGGAAAGTGCAGTGAGAGGAGGAAGTTCGGTGACCGACGGGTGGGGCTCCAGGTCCGCAGAGGGCGAGAAAGCCCGCCGGAAGCGCCGGTGGTGGTCTTGTCGGGCGAGGCTTTTCTCACCCGGCCAGGCCGAGGCTGGGACTGGAGCTGGCGCCGCCGGAGGCCGCAGTCGAGGCGCCCAGTCGGTCGGAGGCCTCGGGCCCACGAGGGGGCGAGCGTTAGGTGGGAGCCGGGTGAGCGAGTCGCGCTTTCTTTCCCCGGCTCCTCTGGTGGTTCACCGGGCGCCCGCCGCCGCAGTAAGCGCAGCACGGCCAGAGGTGGGGCCCCGCACAGGGAGATTGGTGGTGGTTGCTGGTGGGAGGGTGTGTTTGGG